AGACTAGTTGACAACCAGTAGTGTGCAAAAAGGAGATTTAATTGATGATGTATAGTTTACAAGTCCTTATTTTCTCGCTATTACTAGAGCTCAAAGACCTCAAAGAGCCAGACAATCTTTTGGACACTGTCACACGTCACGCAATTCTTCCCAGCATTCATTGCATTAAGCAAGAATTTGRCGAAGTTTGCTCAATACAAAAGGTGTCATTAGGAATAGAAGGTTGTTATGGCGGAAAATCAGCCCAAGATCAAGTGCAATAACTTCGAAAATGATACTGAATTGATTAACTATTATGACAAGTGGGCGAAAAATTATGACGAGGTGAGGAATCAAGTTTAAAACGTTTTAAAGATTGTAGATTGTGTTACTTTGAACACGTTTTAAGTACGTTAAGTTTATAAGGCCATCAAAACACCCTGATCAGTCAACAAATTACATTTTGATTGTTTTTGTTCCTTGTGAATATGTAGCCTGCGTGCAGCCGAACCAAAACTTGTTATAACAACAAGTTTTGGTTCGGCTGCACGCAGGCTAGTGAATATGATGGTATCTACGTTTGCTGAAGGCATTGAGTGTACAGAGAAGGCTTTACCGTCTCAGCTGACTCTACCACAAAGTTTTGAAATTTTGCCCTCACAGCAGGAGCAATGAGTATAGTAGAGCTTAAAATATATAAATACTTTTTCACTTTTTCTAAGGAGTATATAAAAGAAGGAAAACAATATTTGGGGACTATACCCCCACCCCCCTCCCCCCTGTTCCATGGCCCATGTAATTTCAAAAGATTAGCATTTCATGCAATAAATAATGGGGTAAAATATTCAKGAATTCTCGTGTTGAAAATCTCTTTCGACACTTGCAGATAAATTCCATATCACCACGCCCCCATGTAATATCCTCTATTTATCACATAGGATGTARCAAAAGAACGTGGATACATTGGTCCAGAAGTTGGAGCCCATACGCTACACGAGTTCCTGGAGAAGACAAAACTTGGCAAAAACTGCCGTATACTTGATGTAGGAGGGGGTACTGGAATGGTTGCTGAACATTTAAARAAATTGAATTATTCTAGTATAGATTCCCTTGAGCCTTCCAAAGAAAGCAATGAAGTTGCACGRAGCAAACACGTCTACCAAAATATATTTGAATATTTTATAGAACCAGGAAAAGAAGTGCCAATCACAGCCAACAGCTACGATGCTGCYGTRGCRATTGGAGTTTTCACTAAAGGTCATTTCAAAGGTGAAAACAGTGCTATGGAGGAGATGATCAGACTTGTTAAACCAGGGGGTTTGRTTTGTTTTTCTATAAGAGAAGACATAGCATTTGATAAAGAATACCTTCATCAAGACAAGATGAAGAAATTTTGTGAGAATAAATTATGGAAGGAATTGYTGAATGCCAAAAAGCCATATCACGTGGCTGGAAATAATGACTTTTGCTTTATGCATGTCTTTGAAGTCTTGTAAGGCAATTGTTTATAATATTTATACCATTAATGACATATATAATATTTTTGAATATTTGGGTTAGATTGCACTGGCAATTTTATTAGTGGAATAAAAAATAAAAACTACTGGACGGTACTTTGATAGAACATTTTTTTACTAATTCAGATATTTTTGTAATATATATTAGATTTATGTATAATAAACTTCTGCTTGATAAAGAACACATGATAAACTTGTGGCAGAAATAGCATTAATTTGTAGAAAATATAGAAAACAAAGAATTAGGAATAAAATTTGGGTATTAAACACAAAAAATGTAATAGTCAAGGTGTAATATTCCAACAGACACAGAAATTTATAGTTCCCTCCAGCTGGTAATTTTGATTAAAGATTTTTTTTTTCACACCAAATATTGATTATTCTTAGAATTCCAGTATGGACAGGTAAAGCCTCAAATCTATGCGTAAATTGACTGTTTAATATTGTTTTCTATCCAGCAATTAGGCTGTACTAATTTGTCTTTTCTTCATATAAGGGAGAAGTGCTTGAGTAAGATTTTGAATAAATTTATGTGTGATTTAGTTGGTCCTGACCAAAACCCAAATCACTATTTCACCTTGACCATTTTGATTTGTGCATTAATAAGTTGCACTCACTAGTACATAACATAATTCCTAACTTTGTCACATTAGTACAGTCACTCTGATATTGCAACATATATGTTGATTTAAGGTGATTCCAACATAATCAAGTGTGAATTGCTTGAATTTTTTGGAATGACATATTATTATGTTCTAGTCACCTTAATATATTTTGATAACATGAAAATTCTTGGGTTATTGTTATGTGGCTCAAAATGTGRTAGAGAGCAAATGACGCAAAATGACATGCAATGCCCACCTATGTTCACGAACAATCAATTCAAATATATATTAGGCATATATTTTTTTTGGAAATTAAATTGATACATTGATTAGAATACATCCTCAGAAACCTATGTATAATCTGAATAATAGTCTCCATGGTTACCTGCGTCATCTTGAAAGGCAGCTGTGCCTTAACATGGAAGAGAGATGACTGTTGAGCGTGTAATGATAGATACCTGTGAATAATTGTCTGTAAGGTGGTGAAATAAGGCTTCTATCATTGCACGCTCAACAGTCGTCTCGCTTCAATGCCAAGGCACGGCTACCTTTCAAGATGGCGCAGGTAACCGTGAAGACTATTATCAGTATTATTATTCTAGGAGTGATGGAAGAGTGAACAAAGATTACACCTAGGTTCCCAARGACAAAATTGGAACATAGCTGAACAACAAATGCTATCGAACTTTTCTTCTTTTGGATGGTCTTTTTGTTTTTGCATATCCTTTACCATACCAGCCAGGACATGGTTTCTCGTCTGCATTTGTACTTTCTGTATCTGTAAGTTCAGTTTTGGCTTCACCATTATCATTCTCAGAGTTTTCTGACTTAATTATGGAGGATGTGTCGATTTGTGAGTCTGTATTTGATACGTCTGAATAAGGTGTTAAGCATTGGGTTGTATAAGAGGAGAGTTCATGGTTTCTTAATGGAGTTGCCAGTGTAAAAAGAGGATCATTGCTCCTGAAAAAAGAAGAAAAACGTTTCAATGACTAAGTATTGAATATTATTAGCTTTAACAGTTTATTATAATGTGACATATCTATTATTCTAACTCTTCCAGTTTTTACTGGTCCCACTCTTTTACTGATGTACTACAGGAAGAGATGCAGTGGAGGCTAACAGCAACCTTAGTTACTGTCTCCTCTGCAGTTCCCTTTTACTATATAATGAAAGGCAGCCTTTGAATGCACACTTTTGTTAGCTATTCAAAGTCACCCTTAAAATGAAATCTTAAGCATTAGGCTAAAACTAGGCACAGTACTAAAATGATGATTAAAAGAAATTAATCACGTTCTACTGTTCCTTGAGGATTATCATTTCAAGATCAACATGCAATGCAATGACGCTCTGTCTTTTTTACAATAGAGCAGCTGTCTGCATCCCATTCTTTGGATTAT